TTTTTGGTATACAATACTTTTGAAAATTAATATTTAATATTTACCAACAAGAACAAAAAAATCATAACTTAACGAAATAAATCTCTCCAATTACTTTTATGGCATTATAAAACTATTTACATTTTAGAATTTTTTAAAATGACAAAAATTAGTGGAAAATAATAACGTTATGCCTTGTTATCTGGAATGGCATTGCATATATCTTTTGCAATATGTTATGAGCTAATGGTACAATACATATGGGTTTAAACCGATAAAAATAAGCAATACCTACACTGGAAAATTTTATGTCATAATGACCATTCTAAAGTAAATAATAAAGTGTATGAATATATTTCTGTCTTACCAGCTGTAGGCAAAAGGCTCCATCGACAGTAAATATTCGAGATACTTGTAAGTACAACGGTAGGTCATACATCTTTAGAGTACAAGAGTGGATCATCACTTATTGTTAATATTTTTGGTTTATATTAGTGTAAACAAGATGTCATAACTGTACATCTGCACAGTATTAAAAATATTTATTGGAGTTTTCTAATCTATTGATTGATAGCTTATGCTTACCATCTAGTTAATTTTGAAGACTTTAACATGATGTCGCTAACAGTATTATTTTGCTAATGATAGGCTGTGTATACCGTATGAACATCAACGGCCAACATTACTTAACGATTTTATCTTAATTAAACATGATAGCAACAAATAAACCTCATTTTTTTTATTTTCTTAAAAAAATCATTCAATGAATCTTACTAAAATTATTAGTATTGGTCTATTAAAATTAAACTGATCGACCATAATAAAATTATAACAATATATTAATGTTATGAACACAAAACATCGAAAAAATTAGAGTCTCATCGAGCCGGTTAACTGGAAATACTATTAAACCAAATACTCAAAAACAAAGTTTTTGGCTTAAATTTATGATAGCTAGGTGTTTTAACTCCAGGATTTCGGTAACAGTAAATGCAATGACATGGTTCTTTTTAGTTATTTTAATGAGTATCTCTTTTGGCATTAGACAAAATCAAACCTTTTATAGTCAAAGTTTAAGATCTACTTTCACGTAATATCGAATACATTTTATCGATTGTATTTTTACTCTGGTTTTTAAATACATTAATCTTAATATTTTAATACATCAGCACCACACTAGTCATCTAATAGTTTTACAAAATCGTGATGTATCGTAAAATGCCACCCTTTTTTTGATGGCATGTTATTCAACAAAGTCTTGTATGTAAAAAATTAGTCTTTTACATGAATTTTCTATTTCTTAAATTATAACACTGACAACAATGTATAGTATGACCTATATATCACTACCGTATATCATTTACCTGAATCAACACAAATGTTGGTAATCACAGATATTTAGAAATAATATACGCTTGAGTATAAAAGCGAGT